TGCTCTTCCGATCTTATATATATATATATATATATATGTTATGTAATATATGCAGGCTGAATAATATATATAAGCGGGCACGACGTGATTCTTTATTAAAAAAATAAAAATAAAAAAATATAGAATAAAATTTTATTTTCGGCTGAACTTTCGAGAAAATCGAATTTGAAAATTCATGTTCTAAAAAACTTCGCTTCACTCTTTGAATTATTCTTCGATCAGGAACACGTCAATTAAGATATCGCTCTTTGTATAGTAATAAAATAATAGCGAACAGTAGTGGATGAATTATCATTACAGGCTCCCAAAATCCGGATATATATCGATACTCTCCCTGTCCGTATAACTCATATCGTCGTAATATTTGAATGAAAACTATTTAGCATCGTACAGCATTGTTTATAAACACAATACGAATTATACGTCGTTCAACAAACTGTCGTAGCTCTACCTTAGCTATAACAGCATGTGTATGCAGCGGATTTTCAAACTTAATTTTCTCAAAAGATAATTGATCTCGAAAGATTTTCACGAAAATTAAAAAATTTTATTTTACATCTTTTCTTATCTTTTCATAAAGAATTACATCGCGCCCGCTTGTATATATTATTCGGTCAAACCCTGTATTATATCTAAAATTAATTATATATAATTACATTAACATAACTTATATATAAAAACTCACATTTTAATGGAACTTGAGAAGCAAGAAATGCTTCTCTTCTCTTTTCTTTATCACGTGCTTCAGTATTGACAGTCATATCTAATCGATCTTGAGAATCATCATCGTCACTTCGATCATGATCTTCCTCTCGTATTAATCTTGATTTGCCTTTGTCATCGCTATAAAAAATTTATTAGTATCATTAATATCATTAACAAATATCTCAATAATTAGTATAACCGAAAATTCACGAATCGTCTGTTTATTATATAATCTTATTAAAGACGAATTGTTACCTCTGCTCCTCAATAGGAATGTAATCAGTTCCCAATTCTCTTGCTTTTTGTCTGCGCTTTCTCGCTGCATGAATCATAGCGGCGTCTGGTATACATCCACCTGGTTGATTAAAAAAATGTTATTACAGTAAGAGATATAAAAATACATCTTATTAAATTTTTAAATATTAATAAGTTTTATTACATATGTCTTATCATTGCTCATAATAAACAATCTAAAAACAAAATCTAATATTTTTCTTCCATTTAAGTTTTGTCAAAGACAAGAATTGTTAAATATAAACACTGTAATTCTATTTACTCTTTACGAATTCTCAGTATATAAGTAATATAAGGATATGTTATAAAATGTATCATATGAAAATTTACATACTCTCAAGAAGTATTTTCACAGTTTCAGCTTTATCTGTATTTTTCCGAAATTTGTGACTGCAGGGCTCATCCTCCTCCTCACCCGATGTATAGTCATCTTTTCCTGCTGCCAACGCAGCTCGTCCATTTAAAATCAGGGGTCCTGTATTTTTTATTTTAACCTAGCAATAAAGATTATATCTTGTTTAATAAAAATTCACAATTTCAAGCCAAAAAATTCAAAATTTTTACAAAAAAATACTGGCAAAATACAATATCTCGAAACTAAAGGTACTCGAATATTTCTACTAACATAACAAAATAACATAAGATAAAAATATTATATAAGAATCATCAAGTTGTAATAAAAAGCTCACTACAAGCTGATTAACTATATATACACTAACGGGAAATAATAAATTTATTACATTGTATTGAAATTAGATAATAAATAATTTAAGTAGCACTTGTGTGTGTGAAACATCTTCATATTTACAATTTAGACATTATTTATTTTTCCAATAATTATTTGTTTCACACATAACTGATAAAATAAAAATTACATCATAGAAAAAGTAATATCCCAATCAAATATATAAGTGCGTTTATCCAAATTTAATTATTAAATTAAAAGAATATCCTTGTATTTGCATGATACTGTGCACAACATTATAAGTTATTATCGTATGAAAAGTAATATTTAAATATTATGTCTTCTTGCTGTACTCCCGCAGTTGTTCCAAATCTTGAAACATTAGTCAATGTATCAGGGAGAGAAAGAGAGAGAGAGAGAGAGATGTAAAAAATCCTCTATGTTAAATGATAAGTTACTTAAATTGAAGAAACGCTAATAATAATAAAACATCATAGAGATAGCTTACTACTAGATCATCTGTCTTTATTTCTAAATCTTTTTCCTGCTTAATGGATTTATTCGCTTGCTCAGTGTCCACTTGCATTTTCTCTTCACCTTTCTTTTTCCTCCTCTCGTGATCTAGCTGTTTCATCAGCTTTTTGCTCCTCGACGATTTCTTGACTATAAAAACTTCTCCGTCGTCCCCTGTAATTCATTTCAACGTTCAATCTCAATCCGAATATACATAATACGTACATCGTTCAATTGCTTGGTAATTAGATTTGGAAGAAACGGCATCTGCTATGCGTAAGTATTATTTGTCTAAAACAGAACTCTCTGTGTCTCTGTGTATTGATATTAAAACATTGTTCATTATTCCTAATCGCTATCGCGATTATTCCCTGCAAAGGCTTGTTTCCACAAGCAAGTGTCGTTGCATTATTGTTTGTATAAATTGTATATAAAATAAGCATACATACTCATGTATGTACACACTAATTGCAATACGCACGCACGCACGCACGCACGCACGCACGCACACACACACACACACACACACACGCACACACGCACGCACGCATCATACATATACACACATGCATACATACATACATTACATATGCAAGGATGTGTGTATACGTATAAATATACCTTGCTCCAGCTCCTCGCCAAAGCTAAGGCGCGTCTGCTTTGGCTTATCCTTCTTCGTTTTAACTTTGACCGGCTGCGCGTCCTCCACCTCCATTCTGTTCTCATTATCCTCGTCTTCATCGTTGAACGGACGTCGGCGTATGTTCCGCTTCGGCTTGTTGAATAATGACATTGTCGTCGCTCACCACGACCAAAGGGACGTGGAGGG